GAAAGAAAGGGAAATGAGAGGAATACTAAGAAGAATAGGAATTTTAAAAAGCAAAAGATGGGTAAAAAAAAAAAAAAAAAGTAAGAAGATGCTCAGGCCAAGGCATAGAGGAAATAACCACAACAAGCACTTATGACAGAGTGTGCTGTTACTTCGCCAAGTACCTGATGAATACTGAGTTGTATCAGTCTCACATTCTCTGGTGAGGAAGAAGAGGCACAGACAGGTGAACTGGACTTGCCCAAGGTCAAGCAGCCAGGTGAGTGGCAGCACCAGGGTGGCCTGCCTCCAGCCTCTCTATATAGTGCTGGGAATTACTATCCTGTACTGCCTTCCTCTCAGGCACCTAAGAATTTAGTTCTCACTTGCACCTACCTGTGCTCTTGAACAAGTCCTTCTTCCTCTCTGAACTCAGTTCCTGTAACTTCAACAGCAGCGGCCACAAAGTAGGGGAGCGCAGAGAAGACTAGATGTTTTCTGAGGCCCCTTTCCAGTGAAGCAGATGATGAGAAAGGAAAGGTGAAAACATGGAGGTAGATTACAGAGGACAGGCAGATGGACCCGTGGAATGTGTGTGGAGGAGACTTGTACTATTCCAGGGGTATGTGGCAGGTGTAGTGCTCAGGTCTGGGTCATCTCAGCCTGGGGGGCTGTGAGGGAGGAGGCTGAAAGCAGCATCCCTAAGAACCTTCTGGAAGCTGGAACCACCAGCTAGGGTGGTGGGTGAAGCAGAGCTGGACGGCACTGCTACCTCCATGCCCAGGCCAGACCAGAGGACTGGGGTATGTTTGCGTGTGTCTGTATATGCAGGTGTGTGAGTCTGTGATGAGAGGCCTTCTCCCCCACCCTCAAATTCAGCCAGAGGACATCAGAAGTGAGGCTCCAGGACAGGTGTATGTGGGTTAGTGCATGGCATGCAGGTTGGTGGACCCCTATGGGGGACGTCCAGGAGCAGCAAGGCTGGTAATGCCCGTGCCCAGGTCTGGGGATCCTTCACTCTCTCCAGCAGACTTGGGAAAGCCAGGATGACAGGACAGGCTGCCTGTCCAGTGGCTTCCTTGGGTTTCTCATCCTACTTTGCTGTAGCTTAAGACACCCCCTTCTTGTCTCGTTCTCTTCCTTTCTACTCTGACCACTCCTCAGCCTCCATTTCTATCTCATCGTTCACCCACATCCTTCATGTCAGTTATTCATTCTCAGTGTTGAGGCTTCCACATTTTCTTCCTGTCTACACTCTTCATGAGTGAGTGAGTGAGTTCCTTCTCAAGACTTTAGTGACTGTTAGTTGGCTGTTCTCTTTCAACTTTATCTCTAGTCTGTATCTCTTACTAGATAGACCCACAGATGCAATTTCCAGGTGGATATTTCTTCCAGACATCTTGTTGCAGCCATCTTAAACTTTCCAAGTCCTCGAGTGATCAACATCCCCTCCACCCCTGCTACCCACCCCATCAACATCATGATCAACATCCCTTCCACCCCTGCTACCCACCCCAACCTGCTTCTTCTTCCGTGTTCTACAGCTCTGTACACGGCACCACCATCCTTCAAATTAAAAACAGTCATCCCAGACTCTGACTTTCCCTTCACCCTCATAAACCAATCCTCATAGAGTGTCGTCATTTCTAACCCTTAAACATGTATTTCCACCCCTCTGTATTTCAGCCCTTTAAGCTCCCATACTCTTTCTCATAGACCAGTAGAGTTCTCAAAGTGTGCTTCCTGGGCCAGCATCACCTCCAACGTCTACAAACTTGTTACAAGTGCTACTTCCTGGAACTCACCCCAGACCTACTGAGGCAATAAACCTGAGTGTGGGGACTGGAAATCTGTGTTTTGATAAACTCATAAGGTGACTCAGAAGCTCAGTAAGGTTTGAGAACCACTGCCTAGACCATTACAACAACCCCCTAACTGGTCTCCTGCCTTCTTCATTCATTACTCTTCTGGCGCACCTCCAATTCCACTTAGCAATACGAATGACTGGACCAAAGGGGCGCCTGGGTGGTTCAGTCAGTTAAGCATCTGACTCTGGCTCAGGTCATGATCTCACGGTTTGTGAGTTCAAGCCTTGCAAGAGCCTGCTTCGGATCCTCTGTCTCCCTCCCTTCATGCCCCTGCTCTGCTCATGTGCGCGTGCTTTCTCTCACTGTCAAAAAAAAAAAAGAAAAAAAAAAGAGTGACTGGACCATGTAACCTTCCTGTTGAAAACTCTCCTGGGGCTTCCCATGGCCCATCTTCAGGGAAAAAAAGTTTAAACACCCTAACCAGCATTCCAGGCTCTTCACAGCTGCAACTGATTTTTCTTTTCTGCCACATGAACTACCTCACAAAAGGATGAAAGGAGAAACAGAAACTGTGTCCTGCACTGGCTTTGGTGCATGGCAGGTGCTCGGTGAATGCTTATTAAATAAATGGTGAGTGGATGAGTTTATCAATTCCTCAGCTGGTTGAGGGATCTTTTTAGGAAGTCTCCATGACCCTCAGTAGCTAGACATAGAAACCAGGTACAATCTGAGGAGATCATCTGACAAATGATTTTGCTTTATGGCTACTGGGGAACAGATGTTCATGATCTGCTACAAGCTACCAGGTTTTGTGACTGTAGACTCTGTCACTCTTCTCTTTCTGGGCTAAGGGACTCCTTGCTTGCTGAGTCATGGAGGAGGGGCATTGCTGTTTGCCCACTCTCTGGGACAGATGTGCATATGTGGAGGCCTGGGATGTGCACAGGGGTACATATGCAGACTCTCCTGGGCACATGGGGACACACAACATAAATAGAGACACTCTTGGGGAACAATGCTACGCATGGAACACAGGACATGTATTGACACATAGGTGCTCATGTTCAGATATCACAGGCTCCCATTTGGCATACTTGGCATATTGCTCTTCTCCCAGGCTCAAATATTTCCCTCTCATTTCAGAAAGAGAGCTTGCATTTAGATTTGATCTTAAGAAAAAACTCAGGCCTGTCTCCTTTATTGATTGACACAGCCACCTTACTCCCAGCCTTTGGCAATCTCTCCTGCCCCCTGGGTCTGGCTGGTTGTTAGCAGAGCGGGGAAAATCTGGCACAAGGAGATGCTGAGGCTCCACCTGGTGGTTATATCTCACAACTGCAGCTCAGGTCCCCTTTTCTCCCTCGAAGCTGAATTGCCAAGAGAGAGCTTGGTCTTAAATTAGCCTAGCACCTTCCCCATTCAGGAGCCCAGAACTCTCCGACCATTCCTCACTAAAGTACAGAGCCCAGTCTTTCTGGTGTTATAAGCTTTTCTGCAGGGTTTCACTCCACCTCAGGAGGGCAAGTACTTTGAGAGCAGGGACCCTAGGTGGTTGCCACTTGCTTTGGGCCCTTCCCTTCTCAGCCACTCCTATGGACTTTAAGACTCTACACCCACAACTCCCAGATCTGTCACTCTGCCCAGACCTCTCTGAGCTCAAGACTGCAGAAAGCAACTTCCCCCTGGATATTCCACAAGCAGCACAAACTCACCATTTACCAAAACGAGCTTGTATTTTGCATTAACCTGTTTCCCAGTGTTCCTGGTGCCAGCGAATGGCCCCATTATCCACTCAGTGGCCCAGATCAGGTATCCGGGAGGGCTCTTTATCCCTCCTCACTTCCAGTTAATCACCAAGCCTTATTAACTAACTCCTACCTATATATTTTTCCCATCTTCACGGCCGCTGACTTAGTTCAGACTTAGTACCTCCTCTCTGAGCTCCTTGCCTCAGTTGTCCCCCTTGTGCAGCCAGTCATCTTTAAAAAATGCAAACTGGATCACATTGTCTGCTAAAAAAAAATCTCAGCATGATCCCACCTCTAATCTTCTGAGCATGGCATACCACGACTTGTGAGATCTGGTTTATGCCCATTGGTCCAACCTCATCCCACTTTACACTCTGTGTAGCAGTAATGAGCTACGTGCAATTCCTAAGCTCACATGCCGTTATACCTGCTGTTCTGTTTGTCTATCTGTCAAGCCTCTCCTCACCCCCATGTCTCAGAGCAAATACTTCTTGAGCTTTCCCAGACGTATTCAGCCAGGCTGAGAGGCTCTCATGCTCCAGCCATACTTCGTTCAGACCCCTGTATGAGCAGCTGATTATACCTCTAGGGGATGTTGCCTTGTCTGTTTCCTCTCTAGATTTTAAGTTGCTTGAGGGCAGGGTCTGTCTTTTCATACTACCCCCCACCCCACTGCCCCGGGACTCCATGCTAAGAACATGACTTTCAGTACATCTAATAAATAAATGAATGTTCTTCTGTCCATGCATGGCCAACCACAGACAGGCTCATGGGACATACTCAGTGAATGCTTGTTGGCTTACTGGCCTCGGTGGAGACGTCTGCGGTGTGTGGGCTGG